GCAGGGTTGCCACAAACCTTCAATTTGTAAAAAATGGAGTATCTATGAAGCACCATAAAGCAGAGCGCAATAAAAGAATGTATGCCTATACCTCCACTTTAGTGGAGAAGGTGGAATGTCAGGAATGCTTTTGTTTAAGAAAGGAGATGATTTGGTTGATGAAACTCTAGAACATTCCATACATAACAAAAAAAGAAAAGAAAACTTGAGTGGGATGAGACCACCAGATCTAGGGAACATTTACACATGAGATTAAGAGAGAAAGCAAGAAATAAAAGGAGAGGGAAAGGTATTATTTGAACTACCAGTGAGTGTCAGAAGAGATGACTGGATTCTAAACTTCATCTAAACCCAAATGGGATCCAGCATTTCTAAAATGTTACTTATTTACTTACTTTAACGTGTGCCGAGCACTGTTCCGCTTACTTATAAATAAAACTTCATTTAATCCTTGCATTTAACAATCCTATGAAATAGTTAACTATTATCAATCTCATAATACAGCTAAAGAAACTGAGGCATGGAGAAGTTAAATAATTTGCCCAAGGCCATTTGCTTATTAATAAACAAGAGACCTAGGATTTATACCAACCAGCATGGTTCTGGAATCTGTGCTCCTAACCACTTTGTTCTCCTGCTCACAGGTGATCAAAACCCCGGAGCAGATGAAATCTTAAGGTTTTATGGTGCACCCAAATGTTGCTTCCCTTTCAGTTTTTCTGTATAGACCAGTGTATAGGGAAGCCCTTTAAAGAGAGTAGAATGGTGGTGTCATTACTCATACCTGAGCTCTTGGCTGACTCGAGGATAATTAGCATTGTGAGTCCCAGTTAGATTTCAGGAGACAGAATCTGCCCACTGCAGACATACATCTTTATAACAAGCTTTATCACAACAAGAGTATGATTACATTTGTTAGTTGCAGTCCTAAAACAGTACTCTGGTGTTATTTTCACATGAAATTATAAGATCACTCTTATAGGCATGTGCTTTTTAACTTTACTAATTCGAGGTCATTCACTAAAAAATATTTCTTGACGGCCCCTGTTTTAGGTATTGGAGATGCTTTGTGATGAGTTCCTTCTCTATAAATTCTCTATGGATTTTTCCTTTCTTGTGCGCTGCTTCTTATTAGCTTATAAATTGTCATTATTTCTCCCAACTTGGAAAGAAAAACAAAAATCAAAAGAAACTTTTCTTGACTACACATCCCTTTTTAACTACTGGCCCATATATGTTTCCCCATTTACATCATGACACCTAGAAAATACTGTCCCTTCTAATTTTCTCTCCACTTTCTCCATCAGATCTCGTCCAGCTCCAGATTCAAATTATATCCCCCTGCCTACTAACAGCTCCACCTGATGTCTGCTAGGCACTGAAACTTCCAAAACTGAACTCTTGATCTTTCCAACCATTCCTGCTCCCTGGAACTCTTTCCCATCCCTTTAAAGGGTGATTCCATCTGTCTCATTGCTCAGGCCAAGAACTTTGGCTTTATCCTTAACTGTGCTTTTGTTCTCATATCCCTACCATCCATTCCATCAGCAAATCGTATTCGTTTTACCCTTAAAGTCTATCCAAAATCTAACCATTTTATCTCACCTTTGCTATTCCTGCTCTAATTCACTTTGTAAGTAATCTCTCATTCCCAGCTATCTTCCCATTTCCTTCCCTGGCCACCCTACCTCTACTATCTGCTGTCAACCCAGCAACCAGGTTGATTCTTTTAAAACATCGGTCAGAATATATCACCTCTCCAACAACATGTTCTTCAAGATTTTTTTTCATCTAACATGAAACAATTTGGATGAATCTCATCCACATAATGTTGAGTAAAAGAAGCCAGAAGCAAGAGTTCGTACTGTATGAGTGCATTCATTTAAAATACAAAACTAGGCCGGGCACGGTGGCTCACGTCTGTAATCCCAGCACTTTGGGAGGCTGAGGTTGGTGGATCACCTGAGGCCAAGAGTTCGAGACCAGCCTGGCCAACATGGTGAAACCCTGTCTGTACTAAAAATACAAAAATTAGCTGGACGTGGTGGTGGGCACCTGTAATCTCAGCTACTCGGAAGGCTGAGGTAGGAGAATCACTTGAACCCAGGAGGTGGAGGTTGCAATGAGCCGAGATTGTGCCATTGCACTCCAGCCTGGGTGACAAGAGCAAAACTCTGTCTCATAATAATAAATACATTAATTAATTAAAATACAAAACCAGGTAAAACGAATCCTGTGTTGTTAGAAATCAGGATCATGATTGACGGGATGGGGGTTGATTGTGACTGCAAGAGAACACCAGGAGGGTTTCTGGGGCTGGTCTTTTCTATTTCTTGATCTGGGTGCTGGTTGCTCATGTGTATTCAGTTTGTAAAAATTTGGCAAGTTATACACTTAGGAGGTAACCTTTTCTGTGTATATTTTATACTTTAATAAAAAAGTCTTACGAAATTATTTCTCATACAAAAAAATCATTCTTTTTTTTTTTTTTTTTTTTTTTTGAGATGGAGTTTCGCTCTTCTTGCCCAGGCTGGAGTGCAATGGCACAGTCTCGGCTCACTGCAACCTCTGCCTCCCGGGTTCAAGTGATTCTCCTGCCTCAGCCTCCCAAGTAGCTGAGATTACAGGCATGCGCCACCACGCCTGACTAATTTTGTATTTTTAGTAGAGATGGGGTTTCTCCATGTTGGTCAGGCTGGTCTCGAACTCCCGACCTCAGGTGATCTGCCCACCTTAAACCTCCCAAAGTGCTGGCATTACAGGCATGAGCCACCGTACCCGGCCCAGAAAATTATTCTTCTCCTTTAGACTTAGAGTCAAATAATTTGTCAGCATTTATAACCATTAGCATTTATAACCAAAGACACAACATACCAGAATCTCTGGGACACAGCTAAAGCAGTGTTTAGAGAGAAATTTATAGCACTGGATGCCCACAGGAGAAAGTAGGAAAGATCTAAAATTGACACCCTAACATAACAATTAAAAGAACTAGAGAAGCAAGAGCAAACAAATTCAAAAGCTAGCAGAAGGCAAGAAATAACTAAGATCAGAGCAGAAGCGAAGGACATAGAGACACGAAAAACCCTTCAAACAATCAATGAATCCAGGAGCTGGTTTTTTGAAAGATTAACAAAGTAGATAGACTGCTAGCCAGACTAGTAAAGAAGAAAAGAGAGAAGAATCAAATAGACACACTAAAAAATGATAAAGAGGAGATCACCACTGATCCCACAGAAATACAAACTACCATCAGAGAATACTATACACAACTCTATGCAAATAAATGAGAAAGTCTAGAAGAAATTGATAAATTCCTGGACACATACACCTTCCCAAGACTAAACCAGGAAGAAACTGAGTCCCTGAATAGACCAATAACAAGTTGTGAAATTGCAGCAGTAATTAATAGTCTACCAACCAAAAAAAAAAACCCAATAAATCTTTACTGAGCAGTAGGCACTGATCTAGACATGTGGGATACAGCAGTGAAGATGAGCTACAAAAGCTCCTTGGCTGGGCGCAGTGGGTCATACCTGTAATCCCAGCATTTGGGGAGGCTGAGGCAGGCAGATCGCTTGAGCCCAGGAGTTCAAGACCAGCCTGGGCAATGTAGTGAAATCCTGTCTGTACAAAAAAATACAAAAATTAGCCAAGCATGGTGGCGTGCTCCTATAGTCCCAGCTACTTGGGAGGCTGAGACAGGGAGGGTGCAGTGAGCCAGGATCACGCACTGCACCCCAGCCTTGGTGACAGAGCAAGACTCCGTCTCAAAAAAGTAACAAACAAACAAACAAAAACTACGTAAAAGTAAGTTTTATATAAGTGAGAAAAGGCCTCATTGAGATGGCATCTGGACTAACACTTGGAAGGAGATAAGGGAAGTAGCCCTGTGTATGTCTGGGAGAAGAGTGTCCTGGACAGAGGGAATGGAAAGCAAAGGCCCTGAGGCAGAAGCAGGCTCGGTGTGCACGAGCAAGCACTTGCACTAGCAAGGAGACAGTGGGACTGAAGAGGAGTAGGCCAGAGCACACGAGCTGGAGATGAGGTCAGAGGCACCCCTGGAGCCAGATTGTGAAGGAGCTGGTAGGCCTCTGTAAAGACTTGGGAATTTTATTCTGCCTGAGATTGAGGGTTGAGGAGGGGAGTCATTGTTTTGCCCAGGCTGGTTTGAGTTAGGTTTCAGGTGCTCGTAGTGGCAGGCCATTCATCTTCATTGCTGTAAATACATTTCAATTTATTATCCATTCTTCTATTGATTGATATTTAGGTGATTTGCAAGAGATATTAATTGTAAAGAAACTGAACAAGATATATCCTTTTTTTAAAAATTGGATAACTTTTGTGACATAACAGGTTAGTTCCAATGGCAGTCAGGCAATCAATCAATACTCATGGTATACATTAGAGATAAATTATGAGTACATGTATATTAGTGTCAAACAGTAAAGGGTGCAAGGTTGAAAATACAAAGACATGCCAGGTGGATTGCTTGCCTTCAAAGACCCTATAGTCTAGTTGGAGATAAGATATATATGCATATGGAACAGCAATTAGCAAGGACACATACAGGCAACACCAAATAACATCTTAGGCAATTTGCTCCCTAAGCATTCTGAAATGGGCAAGATCACTTTGGACTCCAGTGATACAAGATTTATAGGGCAGCTGAGAATTTAGCAGAGCCTAAAAACGTACATAGGATTTGGAAAAGCAGAGACAGACTTTGCAGACATTATCTGAGCAAAGGAAATAACAAGAAGGCCAGTTTGTGTTTAAGGGGTCTGTGGGTGGTCAGTCTGAGTTAAAGTTTAGGATTCACTTTAAAGCCTAATGGAAATTTGGATAAATGTAATTCTAAAGTAAAGAGCTGCATTCAAATCTGGGAATATTGATATAGTCCACATTTCTCAATCATGTTGATGTATTAATGCCACATTTACTGCTACTAAACCTCAAAGTTCACAAGGCCTAAATGTTTTAAATATATGTATTTTTAGACCAACAAAGAAAATTCATCCAGTGTGACTGTATCAGACCCTGAGACGGAAAATAAGGCAGGCCAGACTCTGGAGAACAGCTCATTAATGGCCGAGCTCCTGAGCGATGTACCCTTCACCCTGGCCCCGCATGTGCTGGCAGTGCAGGGCACCATCACTGACCTTCCTGACCACTTACTCTCCTATGATGTCAGCGAAAACTTATCACGGTTTTGGTATGATTTCACTCTTGAAAATTCAGTGCTCTGTGATTCATAATCTTTATGTCTGTTTGCACCTTAACAGCTTTAAAATATGTTCACCTATTTTATTTGACCTGTTTGATGTTCTTTGCCATTTCACTGTTTAAGGCCCTCAGCAAAGTAAGGATCATAAAGCAAAGAAAATAGCATTATGTTAATTACTCTATTTTTAAGAAAAATGTACATTTGTGTACAAATTGAACTTAAGTTCTACTTCCTTTCTCCCATATTATAAATATAAAAATTAGGCTATGAAGGTTTTATGAAAGGAGTCCATTCCTTCAGATGGTCTCTCAAAATATAACACCTCAAATTTATCTTAGAAGAACTGTGAAAAAGAATTGTGGCATTTTTTAGTTACCACAGCTCCAAAGTCTGAGCTAGAAGTGGGTGTGAAGTCTCCTCTCTGGTTTGTAGGAAGTTGAATTAGTGTTATTCCCGATTTTTTTTCTTCCACAGTGTTTATGAATGAATTCAGAAAAAAAGTTGCCAGTTAGCTTAATTTCTTCAGACGCATTGACGTGGAAGTGTAAAACTTGTCCTAAACAACAGTGCTAGTTTGCTGATACGAGAATGCTAGACCTGCTCTGCGTGCTGTTTCTGGAGTGGCCCATTTCCGTTTTCTGAAACTCATGGCAGCCCTTTCCATTGTGAATAATTCTTATGTTCCCACCTTTGTTCTCTGCCTTTTTGCTACTTCAGTGTGCTCTCTGACCAGCTTTCCAAAGAACTTTCCCTGCTTCTGCCTCGGTTGGCATTTGCTCTCCTTACCACATATGTTCCCCAGTTTCTGAAGAGATCCACATTTCCTTTCAACCTCTCTGCCTCCTGAAGAAAAACATCCCGTGATGATACATATTATTGCTGATAACATCCTTATTTAGAAATTTGTTGGCCACAATACAGATGGAAATGTTTTACTCCTGGAAAAACTAAAATCAACTCATTTCCAATTAGAGTATAGGCAAAACACCTACATATGACATTTAGTTCTTGAATATCCATTGTTTACTTTAATGAAAACAGAACTGCTATTGGTCGATAAACTGTAAAGGGAAGAGGCAAATTGTGATAGAGAATTTTCTATGCCATGGGAAATTGAAATCACATTCATTTTGATGACCAGCAATATGATTTATTAACTCTGTGCCAAGTTTTAAGTATATTTTTTCACGAAGAGTGCCATAGTGAAACTAAACACTGTGCATAAAGGTACATGAATTATTCCAGTTTTAAAGTATTATTATGCATGTTTGTTTTAATAAATGTGGCATGGTTTTAATACAAATGCTATGTTGTTTAAAAGTTACAGGAACATTTCTATTGACAAAAATATGCTTCCTTTACATATTATGTTACCCTATGATGTTAATGATTAAATTAGATCTTTACATAGTTTTTATAAAGCATCGGTCTAGGAAATATGACTTATTGCTGATGCAAATGTGAACATTTTGTAGTAGTTTTGTAAAAGCACATCCTTTTCAAATATCTATGTTAATGTACCCATGAAACTAAATGCAAGTACATAGTCAGTTTGTCTAGTTTATGTGTGAAATTTTGTCTAAAATACCTAAACATTTCATCTATATTTATGTCTACCATGTTATCAATGTTTATAAGTACCTTCATGTGTCTATAAAAATGTTATATTTAAATAAATGTGAATTAAAATAAAATTTTTGATTATTTTCAGATCCAGAAAAATGGGTTTTTTTGCATCATTTATATCTGAATGCAAGTTGTTAATTCTTTAGGAGCCAAAAAGTTTAAGTATATAGTTTGTATAGTGCTGGGAAAAATATGCAATTTCCTCTTACATGTAAGTTTTAAGGAATAACTTTGAAAATGGTAAGATCAGTAGTCCTGGCTTAATAGGACTGGAGGGATTTGAGAGAGACGACATGAGCATTTCTAGACTGATCCCATCATCACAACATTTAGTAAGGGCCAATGTTAATGATCTTCTCTTTTAAACAAAAATATTGTGAAAATGACCATTTAATTTTTTATTCTGTATATAAATAAATGTTTCTATGAAACATTAGAAATCAATAAGCTAACTTCATTTTACCTAAGAGAAAATTGAAGCCTAGAAAGATTAAATGACTTAGTGATAAATAAATGCCTACCTTAATAGTGTTAGTAATTATAATATATGATAACAAAGCCTTGTGATATGGTGGGAAAGAGTTCAGGCAATTGAGGCAGCCAGACAGAGCTGGTAATGGCTCCCTCCCTCATAAGCTGCGGAGCTTTCAATCAGTCCCCTAACTTCTGGTGCCCTCAGTTCCGTCAGTCGTTAAACACTAATTGTTCATAACTTGCAGCGTTATGCTAAGTTATAGTTGGTGTACGTCAAATGCCTGGCAGCCTAAAGCCTAGCGCATCATCAGTATTCTGGGAAATGGATTGTTATAATTCTCGTTATTAACCATACGCACACAATACTATAATGAAATGCAAAATACATATTAATTGAACTTCTTGAAGAGTAACATAAAAAAACAGCTACTTACATTAACTGTAGATCCCCCTCCTTCCCAGTATTTTGTTCCATATTAAATACCTTACTATGAGCAATGTTCCTAAAATATGTTAGTTGACTGTTCTGCCTTAGCTAAGAATTCCATAGTGAACATTTTGTTCTTTTTCTCATTATTACAGTCTTTTTCCTAACATATGTTATTATTGCAAAGTACTATAGGTATACAATGTGCAGGTGATTTTACTGAATCTTATTTATATCTTTATTTGTGGTGGAGTTTTACTCTTGTCACCCAGGCTAGAATGCAATGGCATGATATAGGCTCACTGCAGCCTCCTCCTCCTGGGTTCAAGCGATTCTCCTGCCTCAGCCTCCCAAGTAGCTGCGATTATAGTTGCCTGCCACCAGGTCTAATTTTTTTTTTTTTAAGTAGATGTGGGGCTTCACCATGTTGACCAGACTGGTCTTGAACTCCTGACCTCAGATGATCCACCCGCCTAGGCCTCCCAAAGTGCTGGGATTAAAGGCATGAGCCACTGTGCCCAGCCTTGAATCTTATTTTTAGCCCTAAAATATGTTCAAGTCTTGGATGTATTTTTTTCCCAAGCTTTCTTTAAAGACATTTGCATTCTTTCCTAAAAACAGAATGAGAAAGGCTATTCTGACCATGTATTACCCTGGCTAATTAAATTTTGATCAACTGAACTTTAAAAATTGTACCATTAAAACGTTAGCAAAGGCACAATTTTTATTAACAATTGCAGAACAAATCTATAATTTTTAAGGTAAACATTCATTGACATCAACACTTGTTTTTTTCTTTTCTTAAAGAAAAATGGTAAATTGAAAACAGTATGAAAAAATTCTTCTAAAATTCCCAGAGATTTCATTTCTCATAATTCTAAATGACAGGTGAGGAGAAGCAAGGAAAGAATCTCACCCATGTTCTGAAACCATAGTACATCAGACTACCTCTGTACCTCCCATGGTAACAATTGATCAATAAATGAACACTGCCCTCAGTAATCTAGCAAAGAATATGTTTCTTTCAGAGATTAATGCATTATCTTATTAATTATATCAATAACTCACACAAAATATAAGTTTATTGGAAATGTAGTTGAAGGATGTTTTGCCTTTTAAAGTTTTGGGGAAATACAGGTTTATGGACATTATCTTTTGAGCATTTGTCCCATATTACTGAGGGCATGACCTAGGTATTATTGGGAAATCTAAAACTTTCAGAATAAGTCCACTTCCATTCATACTACATTGGCTTGAAGGATTAAGTATTCTTATATTTCAGGAAAAGGACTCTTTATGCCATATGGTTTGGCAGATAGGTGTGTGTAAGAAAGAGAAAGATGTATTGATTGATGCAAGGAACTCTGTTTCAGTCGATATGACAATATGTCAGTCTTTTAAACATTTAAATAAACTTTTTATTTTGGAATAGTTTTAGATTTACAGAAAAATTATGAAGATACCACAGAGAGTTGCCATATACCCCTCACTTAGTTTTCCCTGTTGTTGACATCTCACATAACTACAGGACATTTATCACAACCAAGGAATCAACACTGGTACATTGCAATTAACTACACTGCACACCCTGTTCAGATTTCATAGTTTTCCTCTAATGTCCTTTTTCTCCTCCAGCAGCCTATCTAGGATAGTACATTACATTTATTTAGTTGTCATATCTCCTTAGTGCCTCTTGGCTTCAACAGTTTCTCAGACTTTTTATTTTTGATGACCTTGACAGTTTTGAGGAGTACTGGTCAAGTATTTTGTAGAATATTTCTCAAGTGGGGTGTATCTGATGTTTTCACATGGTTAGACTAGGGATATGAGTTTTTGGAGAAATATTAAAAAGGTGATATGCCCTTCAGTGAGATTATATCATATTGAGAGTAGTATATGCTATAAACATGACTTATTGCTGATGACGCTGACTTTGAATACCTGGCCAAAGTAGTGCTTCTCAGCTTTCTCCACTGCAAAAGTTATTCCTCCCAACCTTTCTATACTCTACTCTTTGGAATTCAATCACAAAGCATGACCCACACTCAAGGAGCGGGGAATTAAACTCCACCTCCTTGAAAGGCAAGTATCACATAAATTATTTGGAATTCTTCTGCATGAGAGAGTTGTCTCTTCTCCTCAATTTATTTATCAGTTATTTATTTATATTAGTATGAACTCAGGAATCTTCAATCTTTTTTCCAAGTCTTAATCAGTGCTATCCAAGAAACATATTTACATTTTTATGGAAGTCGATAAAATTTGGAACATTTTACATGGTGCAGATGAATACCATTTCATGTTGGATGTGATAGTATATTCTATGGTTTCCTCAAAATTTATCTTCCTGTTAATGTCAGGCATGTATCTCCTTAGTTTATCATGAATAACCATATATACCACAGACCTTCCTTGTAGGGCTAACAGTGTTGCATTGTAAGTGGAGCCCCGGTAGATAACTGGCTTTTTCCTACCTTATTCCTAAGATGGTTGCATCTTATAAATAATGTCATTTTTCAGCAAGTGGTATGGAAATGAAATTGTAATGTCATTATTTCCTCTTTAAAGAATCAAGAAAACTCATGACACAAACAGCTCTTCTCTGTAAAAGGTGAGACTTTTTTTTTTAGTAATAGCAAAAATAAAATTGTACCTTCTTAATTTTCTAAAGAAAGATGGATTTCATTTTCAACATTAAGAGGTAGTTTTAAGAAGCAGTAGAAGTCAGCCTGGGCAACATGGTGAAATCCCATCTCTACAAAAAAATTAGCTGGGCTTGGTGGTGTGCACCTGCAATCCCAGCTACTCTGGAGGCTGAGGTTGGAGATCATCTGAGTCTAGGGAGGTCGAGGCTGCAGTGATGCAGTGAGCCATGATTGTGCTAGTCCAGCCTGGTCGACAAAATGAGACCCTGTCAAAAAAAAAAAAAGAAGAAGGAGAGGAAGCAATGAAAGGAAGAAGAAGAGGAAGCAATAAAAGGAAGAAGAAGAGAAAGAAGAGGAGGAGGAGGAAGGAAGAAGGAGAAGCAGCAGCAGCAACAGCAGCAATAAAAGGAAACCAAGCTTCTTTTGGAGGGGAAAAGTGCCCAAGAATCTCATAGTTTTACTTCTCATTAGCAAAAGCTCACTGCGTGCTAAAACGTAAATTGGATGAGTGGATCTCATTCAGTTTCATTTGGGAAGGACACAATCAAAACAAAAAACAACTTATTTAGTCTTTACAAGACACTTGAATATAATTCCTTGTCAAGAATTTACCCAATCCCAATTTTCAACCTTACAAAAATAAATAAATAAATAAATTCCTTACAGTCAAAGGCAAAGCAAAGGGTAATTGCATCCAGAACAGACCATCAGTTGGCTGACTCTGAAACGGCCCCAGCAGAGAGTTTGGTAGTCACTGCCCAGGCCAGAAAGGGAGTCAGACAATAGAGCATTTCAGAGGTCAGTTAAGGAGACAGGTTCCAACTTAGGACTGCTGCCAGGGATGTACAATCCAGTGTCCGACATCTGGGTTCTGCAGCTGCCAAATCTACCCCTTGTGTGGCTACAGGTGTTGGCTATAACTCTGAGGCACATGGGAGATGGTACAGGGTAATGTCAATGTCATTGTGCATATGTGTGTATGTGTATGGTTTTTCTTTTAGTTTTTTCGAAAGGTACATAATTTATGTTGTATTTAAAATGAGTGTATTTTAAAATGAGTGTATTTTTAAAATGGCTGGGAACATTTGGGAGACTAGCAAAGAAGAAGCTTTTGTTCAAGAACAAGGGCAAAACAAAGCTGAATTTTTACACCTACAGGGTACATTGTATGCTAACATGTTGTGTGTGATATTATTAACTTAGTCATTTGAATAGGCCTTCTCAGGACAAAAATAAATAGATAAATGGATGCCAAAACGCACACAGGCAGTTGGTTTAAGATGAAACCTAAATACGCATTCTCTTCCTGTAGTCTTCTCCCCTCATCCTTGTTTTGGATCTTCAGGAGAATTTGTCTTTATCCACACATATTTTTGAGCCTGGAACAGACTGTATGCAGTCTTCTATCTCACACTATACCACTTGTAGCCATCAACTAACACAGCTTAAAACAAGAACACTAAACTTTCCTCTCCTTTTTGCAGGAAACTTAGCTGCTGTTTGTAAAGCAAATCTGGAAGTTTCTACCTCAGATAGCTGGTTGAGTTTCC